GTTTTCTGTCCTTTTTGACTTTTAGTCTATGAATTTCTGTCTTGGGTTAAATGTGTTTCTTGAATGCAGCATATTGTTGGATCTTGTTTCTTGATCCATTCTGCCAGTCTGTTTCTTTTCACTGGTGAATTGGGACTATTTACACTGATGGTTATAACTGATATGTATTGGATTTTCTTTTTCACATTGTTCTCCTGTTATTTGTTGCCTGTCTTTCTCCTCTGTTTAGTTGTTTTCCCTGCCTGGTGGCTTCTTTCTACTGGTGTTCCTGTATATGTAGTCTTCATTATCTCTTTCTAATATGTCCTTCAGAGCATTCTGTAGAGCTAATTTGATAGTCATAAATTTCTTCAGTTGTTCTTTGTCACGGAAGTGTCTTATTTCTCCATGAATTTTGAAAGATCATTTTGTGTGGCACATCAATCTGGGTTGAAGATTGTTTTCCCTTAGCACTTGAAATACCTCACTCCAAGATCTTCTTGATTTGAGAGTTTGTGTTGAGAAGTCTGTTGTGATTCTGATGGGTTACCATTTATAGGTAATGTGGTTTTTGCTGTAGTTGTTTTTATTTTTTTTTTAATTTAATTTTATTTTTTTTGTTTTTTTTCTGGTACTGGGAATCGAACTCACAATCTTGGGCTTGCCAGGCAGGCGCTGTGCCACTGAGCTAAATCCCCAGTCCCTTTAGTTGTTTTTAATATTTTGTTCTTGTGCTGAATGTCTACAATCTTGATTATTATATGCCTTGGTGTAGATTTATTTTGGCCATGGCTATTTGGAGTTCTACATGCTTTATTTATTTGTATATCAAGTTCTTTTTCCATGTTTGGGAAGTTTTTGGCCATTATTTCTGTGAAGAGGTTTTTAATGGCTTTTGCACTGTCTCCAGCTTCTCACTGATTCCAATCAATCTTATATTGTTCTTCTTTGTTTTATCCTGTAGCTGTTGGATTTAAAAACATCTTTTGTGGGTTGACAACTGGTGAGCAACTTGTAACATCCTGCAGAACTGAGTCAGCATGGTGTTTGGCGTGGGAGGCCCACATAAGGATTGTTGCCAGCAGCATAAGAAGCAGAATGGGGGAAAAAGGAGAGAGGCTGTTGGGAAGCTGTTAGGGAGCTGCTGGTTCTCTTGGATTATTCTGTTGGAGGACATTGTCATGCTGGCTTTGCCGATGGACTTGGCTGTTCTCATCAGAGGAGGAACTCAGGACCTTGTTGTCACTGAGAATGGCTATGGTTCACTTTGGGGGAGCTCTGGTCCTCACTTTGAGCATTGCTTCCAGGCTCCAGAGGGAAAGATGGTGCACTGCTTAGTCTCCTGGAGAAGCTTGTCACATTGACTTTTGGGGATGGGAACTCAGCTGTTCTCATCATTAGATGAGCTTGAGACCTCACTGTTGCTGAGGATGGCTGTGGTACTTTTTTAGGGAAGCTCTGATTCTTACTTTCAGCATTGCTTCCTGGCTCCAGTTCAGATCCTTCAGCCTGCTAGAACAGATCCTTCATCCCACTGGCACAGACTTTCTCGCTTCCACCCTTGACCTTTGGGCATTCCCAGCACAGATCTATGAAACAGGAGTGCATGAGACATTGTCACAAACTCTAGGCCTCCAGCTAGACTCACAGGAGGCATCATTATAGGCTCTGGGTCTTCAGCTAGACTCATGCAGGACACGCTGTGGGATCCAGGCCCTCAGCTGGATTCTTTGGTCTTTAGTGTGTGGACAGATTTCCTGCACTCTCTTTTTGTATATGATTCTTTGGGTGACTATTACAAATAATCTTATAAAATATGTGTCCTGTATTATATTGCTTCCCTTGCAGAACCCCAAACTACAGCAACATCACACCACAACAATATATGTGCACCCATGTTTATAGCAGCACAATCTGTAATAGCTAAATCTTGGAAATAACCCAAATGTCCATCAACTAAGAAACGGATAAAAAGATGTGGTATTTTACTATAATGAAATATTACTTGGCCATAAAGAAGGACAAACTTGAGTCTTTTATAGGTGAGTGCAACTCAAGACCATACTCATAAGTGAAATAAATCAGACCCATATGTGTAAACATTGTATTGTCTCACTTGTGTGAGAAACTGAACAAGTAAGTAAGGTCCAAAATGTACAAAAGATATTGTGAATTGGGAAGAAGTTGTTCAAAAGAAAAGACAAACTGTGATGAGGGAAAGGGGAAAGGAAGGAAGGGAAAAAGAAAAAAATATATATATACACAAGATAGTTAAGATAATTACATAACTAGTTTCTCTTAGTTCATTAAAAAGAGAGATTTGTGCTAATATTGTTTGGACAAGATAGGTCCATATTTTGTACTCTGAATAACTACTATGAAGACAACAATACTCAATGTATTAATTATTGTAACTCTCCTACTAACCTGTTTTGAAACACTGTTTTATTTCTTTTTCTTTTTCTTCTCTTTAAAATTAAAGAAAAACCCAGCCCCAGCAAACAGGGCTAACAGACGGGGAGGTGATGGATTTGGCTGCTCTTAACCACTTCTCTTTCCGACCCTGCCAAAGCCCCTAACCTAAATATATCCAATCTTCCTGCAGGAAAGACCCCTTGTTGAGCCTACTTCCAAAAATGGCTTTATACCTTTAATATTCATGAATGTAAGCTATTTTTCTATGGGGGTGCAAAAGGCAGCAACAATTTTGTTTTGCAAAAATATGTAAGCAAATCTGCAAGGTCATCTGATTTCCTTGCAGAAACACAACCCTTCACGGAGGCAGAATTGCTCAAGCGCCATTGAAGGCTTTGTGTGTGTGTGTGTGTGTGTGTGTGTGTGTGTGTAAGAGATGCATTCCTTTATGCTCAAATTTATTCTCCCTGTTGTATTCCTAAACTCACTTCATATCTGTGCCTGAAATTCTACAAATGGTGCCATCATGTTTGAAGTCTCAAGAGTCTATAAAATACAGACATATGTACAAATACACTGGGAAAATTTAGAAGAGCCTTTCACACCTTAGTGTGAATTACTATTTTTGCCCATTCAGAGATAGAGGTTTGGAAAGAGTAGAGTGGGACATGGTATTAAAGGGCCTACACTGTCAGATTTTTAGAGAAAAGGGTGGATCTAGGGGAGGGAAAGGAAAGGGGAGAGAGTGGAAACTGGTATGAAAATAATGAAAATGTTTTATGCATGTATGAGTATATCAGAATGAATCTCATTATTCTGTATTAGTAATATGCACTAGTAAAAAATCTTGAAAAGTGGGGTCTACACTGGTGAGGAAAAAGATTTCTGTAGTCTGGTATCACAGGAGATAAGGTTACAATAGGTACTGGGGAAGGAAGGGGAATGGAGGAAGGAACTAAAGATTTTAAGACCATTCTGAATAAAAACTTGTGGATTTGTATGAAAGTCTGTATCTGTTAAAGTTATATCACATCTTCCTGACACATGAGGAGAGTACTGAAGAGCCCTCGTCTTGGGATCCATTGATTTGCCTTAAGCCACACCAATTATTACTATTAGGAGACAGAGAGAAGAAAAACATGGGTATCTATCATTGGCTCATTTATTTCAGGAGACCCTCTTTTTACCTTCCATTTTATTCAGGGTCCTCTACTCAAGCCCAAGTTGGTGGCTTTCCATTGTCCATGGAATAATAATGACTACTCATCGTGCCAGGCACTCCACTAAACTCTTTGTAAATAATACATGTAAACCTCAGTGTGATTCTGAAAGTGAGATTTGACCACTGCTACTCAAAGAGTGGTCCAGGGACCAGCAACCTCCAGGTCATCTAAGAAGGTGTTAGAAATACACAATCTCAGGCCTAACTCTAGGACTACTGAGTCATAACATTCACTCTAACAAGATTCCTGGGTGATTTATGGGCACATTCACATTAAGGAAGAAATGGAAGAGGAGAAAGCAACTATAAATCAGCAATGTTTCCAAGGCTGCATACCTGCAAAGTGGTTGAGCTAGTCACTGAGCTCATGTTGGTTCATTACCAAAGTCCTTGACTGCTATAACCACTCTCTTCCTTGGATGTTGGAATTTCCTCAGGGAACTGATTTCAAGTTATGGATTCTATTAAAATGGTTTTAAACACCAACTTATGCTGCCAAGACAACTACATCTAGCCATCTCTCTCCCTGTGACTCAAAGAGGGACCAGGCAGCATCACTGTGAGAGTGGTAGTAAATTGGAGAAAACTGGAAAGCAGTATTTCTGGATCTTTTCTAGGAAAAAATCTGAGATGGAATCCTATTATATCCCATGGCCTCTGTCTTTTTTATCCAGTCAGGAGAGTCAAAGCCATGTGAGCTTCCTGAGAAATTTCACAAGGAGAGACTGCCAGCCTCATTTCTGGCCCCTGTGCTTCACCATACCCCTCTCCACATTCCCTCTTTAATCTCTCACTAGGAGTAACATTCACCATGACATGATGGAGGTGTGTAAGAAAGCTCATAATGTTACAGGTGAGAATCCAGTCTATGAGGTAAAGTCTAACAAAGAAATTAAAAAGAAGAGGTGGAACCATCCCAAGATGTCACCTTTTTTCTGTGTGGCCACAGGAAAGTAACCGTTTGGAGTTCCAGTCTATAACCTAGGGCTGTTATTAACTACTCTGAGGGTTTTGAGTATCCAGGACACATGAGCAAATCTCCTAATGCTGTGTCTGACACATACTGTGTGCTGCCACTATTATCATAATGCCCAACAGTGAATTTGAATGACTCTGGAGGCTTCCTACCACCTCTCTGGGCTGTTTTCTCATCCATCACTTTCAGGAGGATAATGACCAACAGCACAAGATTGGTGCAAGGATTCACCTGGAAAGTGTTAACACAGAGGATCCAAACCCTGAATGAGTTTCATTGCTTCAGAGTGAATGGTTCCCTGGACTTCACACTTGAGCAACCTGGTAAACCCACCCCCCCTTGCTTACTCATCTCAACCTAAGTCTAGGAAACAAGGACAGAGTGCTAAGAACAGATGCTGTGCTCCACCAGTGCTGAAAGCTGTCAATTTATTGGTTGGGAAAGGGAGGAGCTGTGGTCAGCTCAGGATGGAATGCAGGATCCAAAAAGAAAGGAGATGGCTGCAATGGAGCCAGATGTGAGGCCAGCCAGAAACTTCCCCTTTCGCTGCTCCTCAAGCTGGTGGTGCTGGAGCTAGAGGGTGAAAAGTACAAGAATACCATCAACAACAACATCCGGCACATTAGACAAGAAGACAAGCCGTTTAAATCCCAGACCAACTTCCCAATGCCAGCATAACACATGCACACCCGCGCGGGCGCGGGCGCATGTGCACATACACACCGCGCGGGCGCGGGCGCATGTGCACATACACACACACACACACACACACACACAGAAGCAGCAAAGCGCCACCCCTTTGGGACTCTTCTTGCATTTTTCTTCAAGTTCTAGACTTTTCTCTACTGCTTCATATCATCCTCAGGACCCACTGGGGTATATAGTAGTCACACATGACTGCTATAAGGCCTTCCTAAGGGTTCACAGGCATTTAATCTCCCTAGGAATCCCACCAGCACCAGGAAGTTCCATCATGCCTTCATTCCTTAGGTCAAGCTAAAATGAACTGGTCAAACAGATCTATTGCATCTCCATTCTATAAACAAAATAACTGTGGTCTAAGGAGTTAAGTGTCAGAGCTAAAATTTGAACCTCTGTCTTTCTGCTTGCAAATCCCACCTACGTAGCTGGCATCCATGAAGCTAAAAGATGGGTGGCATCATAGCAGAGCTCTGGGTTTTAGGGAGACCATGGATCCATCTTGGCCACTAAAGAGCACACTTTGCAGTAGCAAGCAAGGGCACTTGAACATGGTTCTCTTGCCAGGTTTCAGGTTTTTTTTTTTTTTATTAATCTGTGCACTAATAGATTCCATCAGTGACCTTCAGGTATCCTTTGTTGAGATCTGGTTAAAGGTTGCACATGACAATGATTTCAACCGAAGGACACTTCCAAGTCCATGTTCCTCCTGATCCTTCTGCCTGAAACGCCTTCGCACTGCACTTTACCAGGCTACCTGCCTTTTGTCATGCTCAGTTCTAGCTCAGGGTCACCCCTCTGGGAATCCTCCTCCAACTGTTCCTTTTCCAGCCTCCCCTAATCCCTGTCTGTGTGATGGTTCTGCCTCTGTTTCCCACAATCCTGGGTGCTTACAACAGGCACTGGGAGTGTCATCTATCCATTCACCTCAGCCAGAGGACTGAAAGCTCTGGAGTGTGGCGATGGTCACCTTTCTGTCCCAGCAACTGGACAGCCAGAGGCTGAGTGCTGGATCACCCAATGGGCCCACTGGCATTTCCTTCAATTTTCCTCTTTACTTTTTTGTGCTTACTTGACTACTTAACATTGTTTTATTCTTAATTGTATGAGGGCTTAATTTCATGAGGGTGTTGTATTCACTGATGCATTTCTGTCTTTTTAGGGCCAAGGTTACTAGAAGTGGATAAATTTAATTCTGGCCTGCTACAGAGTTAAGTGCTTAATATACATCAAACACACATTTGATGAATCAAACCGAAGTTAACAGGTCTCTTCTGCATCTGCACCAAAAAGCTAAGCCCTTTTGGTGAAAAGAAAGATCAACTCTTCTCCAGCCTCCCACTGGCCATGCACAGAGCTTCCTGCCTCCTGCCTCCAACCCTTCCATCTCCTCCAGCTACTGCTACATACTCCAGGACACGGCTGGGGCACAGCTCCCTCTCTTCCACTCCTGACTTACTGAAATGCCTCAAACAATGGGGAAAACCACCTCTTTCTTTAGCAGCTCCATTCATCCCAAACGTTGCCTCACCTTCTTTTCACCCTCTTCCTGCCCCTGACTCTATCCTGGTCCAGATCATCTCTCCCAGGACCCCTGCCTCTGGCCCAGCTCTTCTACAGTCTGTCTGCACAGCAGCCAGGGAGGCTTTGAAAATGTCAGTCATTCAAGTACCTTGAATGAGCAGCCCCGTGCTCTGCTTACCTCATGCTCTCTCTTTTTGTTACTCTCCCCTGCTTACTTGCCTACAGCTTTCTGGCTCTTCCTGTAATACACAGGGATGCTCCTGCCTCCACGCCTGCTGTCCCTCTGCCTGTGACACTCTTCTTGGACAGCCCCATAGCACTTTCTCTCATTTTTAATTGTAGACATTCTCGGCAAGGCCTTCACTTACTGTCTCTTTTATGGTTTAAATATGAGTCTACCTAAAGACTCATATACTGCGGGCTTAATCTTTAAGGCAGTAATGTTCAGAGGTGGGGTCTAAAGACATGATTAGATCACAAGGGTGCTGAATTCACTGATGCATTAACTCACGGGTGAGCTTATAGCTGAATGGACTCCTTGGAGATGTGGGTCAGCGGGAGAAAGTAGGTCACCAGGGACAGTCTTTGAAGGGTATATATGGTTCCCAGCCCCATCCTCTCTGACCTTTCCTCTTTCCATCTACTTCCTGCCTGCCAACTAGGTAAGAAGTCTTGCTCTACCATGCCCTGCTACCATGATGTTTCCACCTTGCCAGATGTCTAAAGGTAAGGGTGTCATCCAACCATGGACTGAAACCTCTAAAACCATAAACCAAAATATATCTTTCCTCCTTTAAGTTGATTTGCTCAGGTATTTTGTCACAAGAATGAAAACTAACACCCTTGTATAAAATTGCAATAATATTCCCTGTCTCCCCCTCCCTGGGTACTCCTTTCCTCTCTTGTGTTTTCTTTTCCTGACGCCATCCCTGTAACATACTACAAAATCGGCTTGTCTATTGTGTTGGTCACCCATTAGACTATAAATCCCATCAGAGAGACACTTTTGTCTGATCTGTTCACTCACTGAGCATCCCCAGCATCTAGAGCTGTAATAGATACTTAATAAATAGCTGTTGAGGCGGGAAAATAAATAAGTGGACAAACACACAAGCATGAAGGTGTTCACCCAGGTCTCTCTTTTCAACCTGCTGCAGGTCCCATCACCCCTGGGTCTTTGCCCCACCTACCTTGGAAGTTGGGTGTGACACAGGATACCTTTCCGCAGCCGTTGCGGCAGCATTTCATCAGGCCACTACACTGGCTGTCCTCTTGACACTGGTCCTCACAGATGCCAAGCTGTGGTAACTCCACACTGGGGCAAGTACCTGGCTTTTCTGGGTAGAAAAAGAAGTAAGAAAATATAGACTGAGATGGAGGGAAAAGGTGATCAAAGTATGATCCTCCGCTGCTCCTCAGCCTGGTTCGCAAACACTACTGCTGCCTGCTTGAGTTGATCTCAGGGCTCTAAGCTGTTCCCATTTGTCCCCGAGGGATTGCCTAGAGATCCTTCCTCCTTCTGCTCCCAGACGGCTCTGGGATCATCAGAGTTCAGTTTGCATCTCAGTTCTACCATTTTCTAACTTTGTAGCCTAGGACCAGAAATCTCCCAGAACACCAGATCTTCAGGTGTCAAATGGAATCAGTGACATCCACGGGGTAAATTATCGGCTCATCGTTACAAAAGCAATGGAAGTACATGGTATTGTTTCTTCCCCAAAGATTGAGCTACTTTGTAATAATAATGATTGCTTATAATAGTTAGCATTTAATTCATTCTTGCTATATGCCAGACACTTTTCCAAGCACTTGACATATTAGCTCATCTAACTTTCATAATAACTGCAAAAAGGGGGAAGGATGTATTAATATTTCCTCAATTTTAAGAGGAAGATATTGAACCACTAAGGGGTTAAGTCACTTGCCTAAGGTCATGCAGGACTGAGGCAAGCCTGAACCACAGGAAACCTGGCCCCAGACTGCATTGGCCACCTTGCACTATGCTTCACACACTGTGAAGTGTGGTGCTCACATGAAGGTTACACACTCAACATTCGCTTTATTCACCTCCACAGACTCGCTTCCAGTTGCAATCACTCGGCCCATGACCCTCCATACAGACGCACACACCCTTCCACCCCCACACACAACGCCCAGAGCTACCGCTGCAGAGCTGTGCTTTTTACTAGCTCTCAATGGAAAATGATGATCTCCTGCAGTCGTCGCATAAAATAGCTTCATTGTCGGGGATGTTTCTAACCCTATTTGCATCATGGATGAGGAAAATGAGGCATAAAAAGGGGAAGGGGCATCCCAACACTACCTGCTGGTCAGGAGGTTTGGTTTAAACAAGACCTGAGCCCAGGCTTCTACACACACACACACACACACACACACACACACACACACACATGCACGCACACATAGAGCAGAGCTGCCTACTTGAGTTGATTCCTTACTCAAGAAGTGGCAAGCGAGCCCTGGCAAACATAAAACAAAGGCACAGAACTAGGTGATCAGTTGTAGAAGACCATGAAAGTAGCTGACAGAGTCCCTGCTTCCTAACCCAAAGAAACACACTCCCTTGAAAATGGCAAGACCTCTCAATGCAGGAACAAAAAGCCTTGGGACAAAAAGAGAATAAACAGGGAACACTATACTTCTCGCAAAGCAAGCTGCTATCCCAGTGTGCACTCCCTCAGGGCGCTCTTCCCACCCGCCGTTTCACTGAGTTAATCCCATAGTTTGGGGTTCTCACTCTCACTTTGCAGACAAGCAAGAAGAGGCTCAGAGAGACAAAGCAGTTTACTCAGGACCACACACCTAGGATATGTCAGAGCTAAGACACAAGGCTCCAGTTTCCTTCCCTGGCGCAGGAGGCCCTTTGACCTGTCCCCTTCTCCCCTTTTTGCCTCAGTTCATTTACCTGAGAAAGGGAACAAGCTCTTATCCACCTAACATCTTAGACTCCTTCTGTCCTTCTGATGCTGTGGTCTGTCAGTTCCTTGCTTCGTCTCCCCTCCTCCAGCGCTCCTTCTGGTCCTGTCTCAGATGCACATTAGGGACCTCCATACCCAGAAGCTGCCCCAGGTGGCAAGTCTTCCTGAGCTTCTCCTACCCGCTGCCCTTAATGTATGGGATCGCATAACTGCAAAGCTTCCCTGCCTCTGCTGCCAGTTTAGGGGACGATAACAGAGGGGCAAAAACTCACAGGGGATGTCTTCTGGATGAAGACCAATAATTACACGCCTGGGTCCTCCCTGCATCCTATCGCTGACTCTCATGCCCAGATTTTCCTTCTGAAAAGCCTGCATTCCATGCTAAGGCTGCTTGTTGCCCTGATCAGAGTCCCTTGTCTGTGGAGAGGCTTGAGCCCTAGCAAGCATTCCAGCTCTCTCTCTCCCTTGGTCCTTCAGGGAAGATAGTTTAAAGACAAGGGAGAAAGAGCAGATGCCCAGGGCAGGGTCCTGATGTTCTTCAAACCTCTCAGCCAGCAAATGGCAAAGGCAAACTCTGAACATCACCCCCACCCCCGTCCGCGCCCAGCTACAGGATGACGATGAGACCTTGGGCGAGAACAGCGTTCTCTGTCACTCTCTTCCATAGACAGAGGATAAGTATCTCATCCTGATCTGTAGAGTCCTTTTCTGACCAAGTAGGAATCTGTAGAGTCCTGCTAGGCAGGTTCTAGCCGGCCCGGGGAGGAAACTGCGGCCCGAGTCCCCACACTGCCGGGAACAATGTCCTGCTGCGGGTGCCCGGAAGCCTGTCACGCACCAGAGATTCGAGTCCAGCCAGGGGTTAGGGGACCGCCCGGGCCCTCTGCTGCGCCTCAGTGACGCCTTTGTCTCCCCCAGGGCCACGCGAGGGAGGGCGCGGACGGATCTGGTTTCCTCCGCCTCGACCTTCGCGGGGTCCCGGGCTTGGATGGCCCTTCCTCCGGGAACCGGCACTCCCTCCTCCCGGCAGCCTGCGGCGGCCCCGCCCCGCTCCGCTCCCGCCGGGTCGCTGAGAGGTTACCGTTGGGCATCGAGCAGATGGTGCCGCAGTTGCCCTGGCAGCACTTGAGGTTGCCCGCGCAGTCGCTGTCGGAGTTGCACTCCATGGTCAGTGTACAGTTCCGGTCCGCCTGGAGCTGGGGGCACACACCCGGCTTCTTTGCTTCTGTGGCTAGGGGCGGGAGGGGAGGGCCTCAGTGGGAGCAGGCAGAGGATGCCCACCTCCTGCTCCAAGGGCCCCACAGCTCAGCGCCAAGGAATTTCACTCTCTGGCCCTAGAGGACCCCTTGAAGCTCGCAAAGGGCCCCACCTCCAGGTCCAGAGTCTTGAGCACCTCAGAGTACAGGAGTGCCCCAATGCCGGCCCTCCGAGCCCTCCAGTCTCAGACTTCAGGGAGCCCTGCAGCGCTGGACAAATGACTTCGAAGTCTGGGCAGAACTCCAGGCTGCATTCCAGCCCGTGTCTACCTGCAGCACAGAAGCCGCGGCCCTGCAAATGTCAGCCCTCGGCGGTCCCCCACCGGCAGTACACTGGACCCCACATCCTAAATTCCCAGGGTAACTAGACTTATGCCTCGGGGGTCCCTTAATTTGCATGGGTCCCCCCACTTGCGCCCCAGGAATCCCCCTTCTCACCCCCTAGAAAGGTGTGTAGCCTTTCTTCTTCCTGGCTCTGTCCTGCGCTGGTGGCTTTGCTCTTCTGCACGCCTGGCCTCTCCGTGCCCGACTCACCTGTGGCCTGGAGGAGGCCGGGCAGCAGCAGCCCAAGGAGGAAGGCTGTGGCCAGCAAGCAGAGACGGCCGACAGGCATGGTGCTGCGCGGGGTGGGGAGCGGGTGCAGCTCAGGAGCTCAGTAGGAAGGGGGGATTTAAACATGCGCCCGGGGGCGTGGGATAGGGGCGGGGCCGAGCGACGGGGTGCAGGAGGGGGGTAGAGAACAAGCGCGAGAGCTGCCACCTCATGCCATTTCACAATCCCCTGGGATCAGGTGTCACTCTTGGCCCCGGTGGGAACCAGGAACCCAAACAGCTTCCAGGCCTGGTGCAGCTCGACCAGCTGCAGCCGGACCCTTGTCCGCTGCTTCCTCTTTTCCTTCCTCCTGGGGCCTAAGGGCAGGGCAGCACAGGGCAGGGCAGGGTAGGCAGGCCAGGAGGTCCTGGTCTCCAGGATCTGGAGCCGGCTTTCAGATGCTTGGGTACTCCTTGGAATGCCTCAGGGCAGGATGGAGGAGGAAAAGGCAGGATGCCACAGGGAGGCAATGGACCCTGGGAATTAAGAGGTTGGACTTGGTGGTGATTGGATCAGAGTGCAGATCCGTTTAGTGATGAGTGGTGGAGGGCTGGAGAGGTGATCAGAGCATATAGGAGAGGATACAAAGTGTACAGCAGAAGCGACAATGAAATTAAGCAATGAGCCATTTGGACAAAGGCCCACGGTGATGTGTGTTTGTGTCTCTGTCTCTTCACACTGCACTCTTATCAGGGATGGGTGGGTGTCGGGCACTGCGCTCCTCGCCTCCAGGAATCCTCCCAGCATCTAGAACTGAGCGTTCTCGGCATCAGCTGTATATATATGACAAACACGTCTGTGTCAGATGTTTGAGAGCCTCTCCCCAAGGCCCCATGTAAAGCTGAACAGACAAGGCTTTAAACCCAGATTTCTCCCTCCAGTTCCTTGTCTTTTTCCATCCCATTGTAAATATTTGCGGGGGCCGAGCATGTGACACACAAAGGGGAAGACGCTTGGTCCAGAAAAAGTAAGCAAACTGAGCCCTCCTGCTCTGTCAAGAGCTTGATTTGACTCTCACCTCCATCACCTTCCATTAGAGAGATTTAGAATGATCACTTCCCTGTTCTGAACAATCATTTTGCCATCTATAAAAATGATCAAATAAGACTTCAATGCAAACATGAGTGTAAACTTCCTGCCATGAAACGACTACAATAGGTAGGTTTATATGATAGATACAGGAACCCAAAATACAACACAGTATACATCACATAAATGGTATGAATGCTCAATAAATAAATTTGAGTATCTACCATTACCAAGGAGACTGATAAGTACAGTTGGCCTCTGTATCCATAGGTTCCACTCTTTTTGACTCAAGCAAATGGAAAATACTTTGGGAAGAACTGCATCTGTACTGAACATGTGTAGACTTTTATTTCTTAGCATTATTCCCTCGACAATACGGTACACAACTATTTACATGACATTTACATTGTAGTTGGTTGTTAAAAGTAATCTATACATGACAGATAAGCACGAGAGTATAGGGTAATGATAGCAAATCAATGGCACGAGTGTTATTTGTTTTTCTTTTAAGACAAAAGATGTTAATGTATGAGTTGTTTTTTTTTTTTTTTTTCTAAACTAAACCCTCAGTATTCAGGTTCAATTGCAGTGTTGGCATTTTGCGATAAGTAAGTGGGTTTGGGGTTGCAGTTTGGGCACTCACCCCTAAAAGGTGGGCCATCAGTAATACAAAGAATACAAGGAATGTGTGTAGTTTATATGCAGCAGGTGTGGAGTTCAGTATCTACAGGGACTCTGAAACCCATCGGTTATGGTTTGTGTCTGGATGTCCCCCTAAAGCCTCATGCAGTAATGGGGAGGGCTTTTAGAGTTTATGATTGATCCATGGTCCATTGCTGGGATTATGGGTGTGAGTGCTACACCCGCCCTGGGGTGGGTAATTTGCATATGTAAGGGAGAAAAAGAAGCTGCCTGCCTGCTCTCCTCCATGTTGCTGTTGTTGCTTTTGCTGTCTTCCCCGCCATAAACGGTTGCCCTCTGCCACGTGCCCTCTGCCTTGGAGTCAGCCAAGTATGGACTGAAACCTCCACAAAGTGTGAGCTAAATAAACCTTTCCTTCCTTAATTTTGGGCATCAGGTATTTTGTCCCAGCAAGGAGAGAAAAGTAATCAAGACACCATCCCTTGCAGACATTGAAGAGTGACTATACACATCAAGCTTTGGAATCCAGGGTGGTAAATGCCAAAACAGTTACCAAGGATATCATGCAGGAAATACCTCTAAATATTTTTTATGCTCAAGTGACCTGAGGGTCCATAAACCCGAAGAGGTCTTTGTTCCCGGAGGCTAGAGGGGGTTTGAGACAGTGAAAACCAGAATGACAGCTGAGTAGAGTTTGGTGATGTGATATATCCAGTCATTGTCCCCATGGTAGATGTTGGTAAAAGAGGCTGAGAATGTCTCCTTCAACTTCCTTGCCGGGCCTGGGGACTGGAAACATGCCGTTGTTGGGCGGGCCAGGACTGTTTACTCTGAGCTCAGAGAACAGTCAACAGTGTTGAGGGCAAGAGCCAGGTGGGGACATAGCCTTGGGCAGGCTCCTGAAATTCAGGGCACGTAGAGGACACTTTGGTGAGCAGCTGGTTTTAGCCTGTGGGCCAGCTGTCTATAGGAGATTCAGCCCTAGGCACTATTGTCCCAACTTTCTCTCCAGATTTATTGAGCTTCCCTGGCCAAGAAACTGCTCAGACTTACCCCTCCTAACACCTCATGTGCTTCCTGGCTGATTGCTTTCTATTACTGGAATGTGCATTAGTTTGAAGCTCAGAAGTGGGGTGGGATGGGGTGGGGTAGAAGGATGGGATGGAGAAGAAAGTTTCATAGGTCAGTGGTGTCAGTTGTTTAGCTCCAGTGGCCCCATGTTCTGTCCTAGGTACAACTGTGTATTTTCTCTTCTACATATATAAAAAGGGCAGAGGCTTTAGAACTCAACGTATCCAGGTCCTAATCAGAGCTTAACCACTTCCTGCTTGCGACTTAGAGCAGCCCTTTGCCTTTTAGGCCCTATGTTTTCCTCCACAAAGTAACATCTTGAAGGATTATTATCTGTATTAAAGGGAAAAGCATACACCAGAGGTTGCAAATCCAGCTGGAGCACATGTATTATTGGCCTACACAGTACATTTTAAAGATTTAAATCAGTTGCCAAGATTTAAAGTGGGGAATTCCACATAAAAAAATCTGTAGGTTCTCTTGGAAAAAAAATATAAGATCTGGTAGCACAGTCCTGCAAACTTACAAAGCAGCCGTCAGCTAGTGAAACAGTTAGAGATCACCACAGGGACAGAGAACGAACTCCTGGGCCCTTATCCTATTACTCATTAAAAGCATAGTTTGTCTTTTCTTCTGAGGCAGTCAGGGACCTAGAGGGTGGGCCTGAAGATGCCCAGTAGGTAGCTGAAAGCAGGATAAAAGCTTGGTATTTCTGCTTTCATGTTCTTTCCCTTCTGTTACCTAAGATCTTTGGGAGAGGTCCTTGCTTATCTTCCCACCAACAGCCAGTGCTGGTCTTATGAGGGAGTCAGCTAGGGGGTCAAACCAAATCAAGCCCTCAGATGACAGTAGCCATCATCTGACTCTAACCTCATGAAAATGCAGGCAATCCAAGTGAATGCACAGGACCACGAGTATGGAGGTATTGGCCAGAAGTATGTGTGAGATGGGTATGCAGAGGTAAGGGACTTCGGGAGTCACATACCCAAAACCTCCTGGAATGCATTGTTAGAGATTAAAAGATAGCCTACAAGGCTACAAGTACAAAGAGGATCAACACACTCCTTTAAGAATGTATGTTCTTGCCCTTGGCGTCCCCCTATTCCAATTTATTATTTAGATTGACCCTAAGGTCAGTCATGCAACAGACCACCCTGACCTTCCCCTGTCCCCTACAAGAATTCCTGCACAGACATTATCCTTCCTTTGTTCTTTATCCTCGCTTCCTGTTTCTATCACTAAAAAGCCACAGGGGCTTCAGTTTGGGGCTGTCTTTTATGAGACTTTTTCATGCTGAGGAGTCTCAGTTAAGGGCAGCCCCTCTGGGCCCTCTTGGAGTTTGGATTGAACATTGGCTCCAAGTAATCTTTCATCCTTTTGTGCCATACCATGGTCATAAATTGTGACACATGAGAATATTAACTACCCCTCTCTTCCCCCATGCGCATAAGCATTGGTCTGGGTGCACTCTGAGCTCCCCACTGTAGGTTCCTGCTAAGATTTCATCTTCTCTAGATATTATCACGATTATACCAGCACCTGATCAACAAATAGAACTTTTGAAAGATTCAGGATATAGCCAACGGCTATGCCTAAAATGGAGGGGAAGACAATCAATAGGACAGAAAGTAACATGGATGGACATTCTGCTGCTGAAAGCTCCAAGGGCAAAGATAGCAAAGCACCATAATCATGAGTGTTAATTCTGTCACGAACCACCTGGAGAAGTTCAGCTTCACAAAGGAAGCCTACAACAAGTATGGTGGTACCTTATTTTGTGAACACTTTTGTTTGCAAACAATTTGGTTCAGAAGCAGAAGGATTTGGCGATAGTTTGTGTTTTTGCTTGCAAACTTTGCATTGGGTGACAAATGTGACTGCCATCTTTCTTACACAAACACAAATGTGGCCATCTTTTCCAAAATCTTAGAACAAATTAAGTTTGTGAACCGAGGCACCACTGTTTCATCAAAAATTATATCAAGGCAAAACTTGAAGAAGAAGGTCCAGAAAGAGTAAAGCCTTGCATGGCAGGGAGTGCAGAACAGATCAAGTATATCCTTGTTAACTTAAAATACTACCAGAACTTTGTTGATGAAAATATGAAGATGATGTGAGCCTTAAATATGATTTTCTTTAAAGATGGTTTAGAGATGGACAAATGTTAACAGGTTTGGCAATGATTTTGTACCTATACTTTGTCACCATAACTGGCTGCTACTTGTCATCCATCCAACACCAGGACCAGAGACAAAGAGGACTGATATTTTGGCCAATATTCATTTGGGTGGAGGCTTTGGTTTTAAGTGAAAAAGAACTTGCCATGCA